ACTGGTGAGGGCCCAGGGAGACAGCTCAGTAGAATAAGTGCTTGCCTGGCAAGCACAGGGTCCTGAGTTCAATCCCCAGTACCGCAAAAAAAAAGCTACTGATGTTTGTATGCCAATTTTTTTTTCCATAATTTTATTGAGAAACAAATAGCAATGAGACAGTTTCAAACCAAATTGGTAGTACAGCTTCAATAATTAACACATTGCATACATTCTTCCTAGCAGTTAATTGCTGTACAAGATGCAGACATGATTAGAACTATTAGAACAAATCCCTCTATTCATTAAGAGCATGCAACTATATATCTATCCTAACCATTTTGATGCTAATTTTTTTTAATCCTGCTGGTTTACTGAATTTTTCTTTTTGGTGGAACCAGGGATTGAACTGAGGCCCTTGCGCTTGCCAGGGAAGCACTTATTCTACAGAGCCATCTCCCTGGCCCGAATTTTTCAATTTTAACAGTCTTCGTATTTAGGGTTTTCTACATGTATGATCTGCAAATAAGATAGCTTGGCTTTTTTAAATGCATTTTTATTTCTGTTACCCATTTGCTCTGGCTAAAAGTTCTAGTGCTGTATTGAATAAAAGTGATGAGAGCAGACCACCTTATTTTATTCTTGCTGTTAGAGAAAAATGTTTGAAACACTTGGTATAATGTTGACTGTGGGTTTTCGTATATATCCTTTGTTGTATTGAAGTTCCATCTTTCTTTATTGAATTTTTTAAAATGTGGAACACTTCACAAATTTGCGTGGCATCCTTGCACAGGGCCCATGCTAATCTCTGTTGTTCCAATTTTAGTATATGTGTTGCTGAAGCGAGCACGGAATGTTGAATTTTATGAAATGCTTTTTCTGCCTTTATTGGAATCATGGATTTTTGTCTTTGTTGATATGATGTATTACATTTATTGGTTATGTTGAATATTTGGATTCTTGTTATGAAACTAATTTTATTACGGCGAATGTTTTTATTATGTGTGTATGTTTGTATGCTATTTAATTCAGTTTGCTAGTATTGAGAATTTTTTAGGTATGTTCATCAGTCATACTGATGTGTACACTGTTCTGTTTTTGTTTTGTCTTTGTCGGGTTTTTGATTACAGGGTAATGTAGGTACCATAGAATTAATTTTGAAAGTCTTTTTGTTCCTTTAGTTCTTTGAATAGGCTGAGAAGCATTTGTGTTACTCCTATCAAAGTTTGATAAAATTCAGCAGAGAAGTTACTCATTTCTGAGCTTTCTTCATTGGAAGATTATGTGTTACGGATTCATTCTCACTACTTTTTGTTGGGCTACTCAGGTTGTTTTATATTCTCATAGTTCAATGTTTGTAGGTCACATATACCCAGAAATTTATTTCTTTAAGTTTCTCAATTTATTAGCATGCAGTTTATACTACTAGTCACAAACATTTCTTTATATTTCTGTAGTATTAGTTTTAATGACCCCTTTTCATCTCTGATTTTATTTGGGTCTTTTATTGGTTAAAGTTTGTGAAGAGTTTGTAAATTTTTTTATTCATGAAATCAGCTCTTGATGAATTTATTGTTTGGCTTTTTTTAGTTACTATTTTGTTGTCTACTCTGGTATGATATTTTTTTCATTCCACTAATTGTTCTTGTTTTTCTAAGCTCTTGATTATTTGAAATTACTTGTTAATGTAGATATAACTGTTATAAAAACTCCCCTTAGTAAGCCTTTTGTTGTCTTTAAGTTTTTGTTTGTGTTTTGGTAACTGAAATGGAACTCAGGACCTCACACTTGGAAGGCAGGCACTATGCCACTGACCTATATCCCCATCCCTGTTGTCATCAGGTTTGATACATTGTAATTCATTTTCATTTGTCTTAAAAACTTAAAATTTCTTAATTTGATAACTTGGCATTAAAAGTATTTCATTTAGTATCCACATATTTGTACAATTTATAAAGTTCCTCACTGTGGTCAGGAAACAGTATATGATTTCAGTTTTTGTGTCTTTTAAGCTTGCTTTGTGACTGGTATACTATTTTAGAGAAAGTTCTATGTCCTTGTGAAAATAATGTGTGCTTTGAAGCTGTTGAATGACACGTTCTGTTAAGCTTAAGTCCATTTGATGTGTGGTTTAACTCTGATGTTTGTTGTTGTTTTCTGTTTGTTTGGAATCTGGATGTTCTGTTTGATGATAAAAGTGGTGTGTGAAAGTCCTCCATTGTTACTGTGTTGGAACCTACCTCTCTTTTGAATCCAAATATCTTTGCTTTGTAAGTTTGGGTGCTGAAACATTAGTTGTGTATGGGTGTATATTCTTTATATCTCCTTATTTTTTTTTTCTCTTAATCATTTTATAGTAATCATACTTGTCTCTTCTATGCCTTTTCTCTCAACCTATATTTTGTCAGATAAGTGTAGCCACTCCTGCTCAAAATATTCTAAATTATATCACTTATGTAGAAATATTTTTCTTAAGATTGTCTTGTAGGGGTTCGGAGAGATGGCTCAGTAGAATAAGTACTTCCCTGGCAAGCGCAAGGGCCTGAGTTCAGTTCCCGGTTCTGCTCCCCATGCCCCTGAAAAAAAAAAAAAGATTGTCTTGTAGCCTATACAGTTGAAGCTTTATATGAAATACCACATAGGATTTAACTATTTTATCCTGATACCAGTGAAAATGTTAATACTGATCGTATTTATTTATTTTTTCATTCAACAAATAGTTATTGAATGCCTATACTAAACAAAACCTTGGGTAGGTAACAATAGACGGAAATGTAAGAAGATTGGCTAGAAGAAATCAGGAAGAGAGGGTGGCACAGAGATCAGAATGGTGCACACTAATCATGGTGCATTCTGGACCCTTCTGTTTGTCTCAACTGGGAAGAAAAAAATGATAGAAATGTGACAGTGTATTTGTTGAGAGTATAAGAGGAAGTGAAAAATGTAGATTTTTTAGCTTGCTAGAGGTAATAAACTAGAAACTGATTTAATCTTAGGGTGCTAAAATACATTAAAATCTCAAATATACAAATTGTTAGACACTTAAGGATGTGGTGAAAGGGTGGTGACAAATTAGAGTAAAAGTCTGAAGTGTTTTACCATTGTGGAAAAAGCATCGTATAAAGTGAAACCCAAAAACAAGTTGATGTAACCAAGGAAGATAGGTTGATGTAACCAATGAAGATATCTTTCTTCAAGTATTTGAGATAACTCACAAATTGCCTTTTTTCTCTCTCTCTGTCAAAGCAGAACTAGGTAAAGGTTGCAAATTAAGAGTATAACCTAAGAAAGTAAAACTTGATTATTTATCCATCAAAGACATACATTAGCTAGATGTGGTGGCAGACCTTGATTACAAGTTAAGTCTGGCCTGGTCAAACTTTTAACAAGACCCTGTCTCAAAGATTTTTAAAAAGATCTGAGGCTATAGCTTACAGTAGACAAGGCCTTGGGTTCAGTTCCCCATAACACACACAAAAGAAATGTTCCATCAAAGATAGTATCCTACCACTTAGCACTAAGCTAAATGACATCTGTGATGTAGAAATTCTAGATTTGAATGGCACTTGAACTAGATGTATGTTCCATTCAGATATCCACTACTTGCTCTGCAGAGCAACAGGCACTTAATGGTTTCTCCTGTAGCATGGAATTGGTGATGAGATCTTCTCAACTAACACTAATTACATGTGTGACCTTGGGAAAAATCATCCCTATTCATATGTTTAAGTCAGTTTGTAGCTTTGGCTAGAGTCACTTAGCTTGTTATTATTTTGTTTTTTAATGTATCAGTTATTTAATTAGGTTCTTAGTAAGGCACTTAGAAAATTTATGAGGCTAAATTCCATTTGTCAGAGCAAAAATGGATTTCAGGTAGCCCCGGAGCTGAGGAACAACTTTGATTTTTGCTAAAATCTGTGAGTCTACCACTTTCTGATCCACCTTGCGCTGCTCTGAAATCTGGTATCTCTCTTTCTTGGTGTCTGAAGATCGCACCCTCCTGGTGTCTGGGTTTCTGCAGCTTCTTCTTGAAGTAAGCATCGGTGAGGTGTTTGGGATTTTTCACTTTGCTGATACCAATTTTTGTAGCGGTGGCAATGACAAATTTCTGGTGTGTTCTTTTAGAGGAACACAATTCAGGCTAAGAGGCCCAGTCACAAGTAGCAAGCCATGGCCAACTGCTTCAGGAAGACCACTCTCTTGCTTCTGTGACGCCCAGTGAGGATGATCAAGATGGTGCCAGGAGTAATTCTAGCTCGAAGTTTCTGCACGTGCTGACTGAAGGGTTTCTTGCCGTGGCTCAAGAGCTTTCAGGGCACATCTTCAGTAGGGTAGTATCTAGGCATTTTTTAAAGCTTAACCACCCAGGTACCTCCATTCTTGTCCCCACTGACTGGTTTTGTGATCATAACAAGAACTTTCTCCTTTTTCTTCTCAACCTTGGATTTAGCAGCTGTGTACTTTCTCTTGTACAAAGCCTTTCTGGAATACATAGCATATTGGTAGTATCTACCAATTCCTCTAACTAGGACAGGATTTCAACTGCAGTGGGGCTGCCCCTTCTTGAACTTTTTTGCCTTCACCTTACCTTTTTACCAGTACCACTGGCAGCAGCCTTCTTGGCTTTCGGTTACTTTTCTTTAGTGGCTGGCTTCTCAGTTTTTTTGCCCATCATCTTGCAAGGTGGGAAAGAACCACTTAGCTTTTTTTGACATTGGGCATGTGCATACCAGTGTGGTGCAGTTCGGGTTGTGACCCTAACCCTTAGAATAGGATACACGGTATACATAACTACTACTGTATCCTACAGATAAAAAAGCAGAATCATAGGTAAAAAACTTAGTTGATTTAAAAGCTTAGTTGATTTAGTATCTTTACACTGTACTATCTTGATAATTTAAGCAAATTTACAAGTTATTTATCCTACCTAAGAATATCACAGTTAATTTTTACCCTATAGGGCTGGGAAGATGGCTCAGTAGAATAAGCGCTCCCCTGGCGAACACAAGGGCCTGAGTTCAATCCCCAGTTCTGCAAAAAATAAAAGGATTACAATTTTTACCCTGTAAATATAGTTGCTATAAATATATAGGTGTTGCTCACTGTAAGAGAGCTTGATAAATGGAAACACAAAAATTGTGAAGTAACAACAGGCCTCTTTTTTTTTTTTTTTTTTTTTTTTTTTTTTTTTTTTTTTTGTGGAACCTGGGATTGAACTCAGGCCCTTGCACTTGCCAGAGAATTACTTATTCTACTGAGCCATCTCCCTGGCCCCAATAACAGCAGTTGTCATGTAAATAGTGATATTCTTGGTACCTTTAGACATTCTCTATGGAGCTAATGGCTCCTATACAAAAACTTAACTTTTTATAAACAGGTATTATGGAAAGGCAGATAAACTTGTAGTAAGTCTTAGGAAGCTTAGAGATAATACAGCCTAATTCCTTTGTTTTACAGGTGCAGAAGCAAATCCAAAGGAAGGGACTTGCCCAACGTCTACAATCTTAATGTCAACAGAGAGTGCTGTAAATTTTATCACCAAATTTATCTGGAGTAATAAGAGTGCTCTTTGTTGAGCAGTAACACAGCATAAATTTGTTTTCTCACAGATTTGTTACAGTTTATTTTTTAATGGCGCCTAGATTCATTCTAATCAGCTGGCTTTTTATTGAACATTGCACTGTGAGGTTGTGCCTTTCACATTTGTTAAATTAACAATTTTATGTGTACTACAGATTTATTTTACAGATGCAGTTTCAACAGCTTTTTAGTTGTGTTAAAATCTAGTGATGATGGTAACCATGGTCATGGGTTAAAACTATTTCAGCAGCCCACTTACAAATTCTAAGA